ATATAATATAATATAATATAATATAATATAATATATATTATATATAATATAATATAATATATAATAATATAATATAATATATATTATATATAATATAATATAATATATAATATAATATATAATATAATATAATATAATATAATATATAATATAATATAATATAATATATATTATCATTAGAAAAATTTAAATTAAAAGATTAATTATTTTTCGAGAAATTTTGATTTATGTTAAACTATGTTTCGAGATGTAATACAATTATATTTGCCAATTATATTAATCGCGTCGAGAAAGCTATTATAGTTTATTAAGTGGTCGCTCTTCGAATTTTTGTGCATCCAACGTGAAGCAGGTGGCACGATGGTAAATTCAGTCTGCTATGCAGTCTCCCATTCGGCAGCGGACACAGAAAGGAAATAAAATAAAATAAAATAAAATAAAATGGTGGAAGCCTCGCGGTCAGGTTTACGCCACGCGCAGAAGATCTCTCCGAGTCCGCCCGTTTTCATGGTCGGCATTCTTCCGTTCCTCTTTTTAAATTTTACATCGTTAATTTCTCCACTCTATCCAGTCATTTTTCCTTCTCTCCTTCTGGAGAACTGATTAACCTGAAATATGCATCTCACTATTTCCCAGCGAAAAGCTTTTCACGGCGGAGTGTTCGTTAAAACGAGCGCCATTTTATTTAGCAGAAAATTAATTTAATTATTTTGTATTTTTATTATACAACATTGGTCGACCGGAATCGTAACATTTCACGATTCTACAATTTTCTGTTTCTTACTGTTTTATCATTTCTAAGCGAGCACATGCGAGAATAATTCTTGTCTCGTTAAACTTACTAAAATTAGCATTCTAGTCATTATTTTATTGGACAACACTGATGCAGAAAGCTATCATTGGTAAGAGAGTAATGGCTTTTGAATAATGTTCAAATGACAATATCTCCAGAAATAAGATTTGTTTACGATCAGTAAGTAGCTTAGTATTTTCCATTAAAAATACCAAAGTTGACCTTCATAAGCCCTTGACACATCCGTCAACATAAAACAGCTAATATAACATTTTGAAATTGCAGAAAATTATAACAGAACGTTTTGAAATTGCAGAAAATATTTTGTGTGGCCTAAATAGTGCTGCAAATATTTTTCAATAGTTGTTCAGATTTCAATAAATAGAATTGCAAAATAAAATTGAAATATTACAGACAGGCAGTGAGCTTCCAAGCAGGGAAGTTGCAATTATTATCGTCAGGTATTAAGGCATTGATAAGTCGATGATAAGTGTTACAAATAACACTTGACGTTTGTCATTCGCAAATGAACAATTCCATTCAAGTATTGCAAAATAATTGGATTACATTGGCCAAGTTTCCTCGTGAAAAGCAAGAGACGGGAAAAGTGGTTTGGCTACTTTAGGAAATCAGAACACCGACGGAAAACAGCATCCGTCTTTCTCGGCCCGCGTCGTCGTAGCATTTCACGGGCTGAAAGAGGACGGTTATCCTTTTAACAACAGCATCTGTCCGACAACGTGCTCTCTTAGGAGACATATTTAGGCTCCCTTCACCCCCATTCCCGTCACGCGGCAATGAAAGAAACAGGAAAATAAAAATCCCCATACGACAGCACACAGAAAAGGGAACTCGAGCGATAAAGATCTCTCGGTCTGTTGACACGGACGGCCTCAATTTTCCTCTCGATTTCGCCCGAATGTTAAACCAGCGCCGGCGAAGACAAAGATCGAGCGCGAGAGGAAGCCTCGCTCCTGTCCCAGCTACATAACCTAAAAAAAAGGATGGAGCGAGCAACGAAAGGAAAAGAAACTGCCGTCGTCGCGAACTGCAAAAATAATGAGATTTCCAGTCGTTCGGTATCGTCGTACAAAAATGGAACGAACTTTCCAGACAACTCGACAACAAAGAACTTGTTACTTTTTGTACATGTTCTTCTTTTTTTTATAGCCGGAGTTTAACCTTTTAGGTACGGATGAATTCTGCGCGAGGCTATTTCTCTGGACGGCAGAGTCTGATACTATATATTCTGTCTGTATATACAGGGTGTCCCAAAAATGTCTCGCAATTCGAAAGTGGCGGGTTCCTCAGGCTATTTGAAGCAATTTTTTCCTTTACAAAAATTTTCTCCGAGGTACCGTTAACGAGTTATTAACGAAAAACAGTGACCAATGAGAGGCGAGCTCGGCTGGCGCGAGGCGACCGAGCCAATGAGCGGAACTGGGCTTCGTGCGCTGGTTGGCTGGGCCGCCTCGCGTCAGCCGTACTCGATTCTTATTGGCGCACTGTTTTTCGTTGATAACTCGTTAACGGTGCCTCGGAGAACATTTTTGTAAAGGAAGAAGTTGCTTCAAATGATCCGAGGAACCCGCCATTTCCGGATTGCGAGACATTTTTGGAACATCGTGTAGACTGTTGTAAATCGATGCGAAGACGAGAAAAGTGTGAAACAATGCATATGAAGACGATTATTTGGTTCAAACGATGAGCGAGTGAGCTACTAGAGCAAGCCACTATAGTGGCGCGTCGTGCCTAATAGGTTAAAACGATTTGGGAAAGTGTACAGAAATTTATATTGTTAAACAAAAAACAAAAACAGAAAATTCTGAATTTTTGTTATATCTTCTTAAGAAGAATACACTGACAAAGTTTGAACATTAAACCTGGGACACCCTGTATAAACGTTTCAGCATAAAGCAGAAATATGTCTGCAGCGAATCGACTGGTTTTATACAGGCGGCTTTTGTTTTTCAAGGAGTGTTACTACCGTATCGGAACGCGTTTCATTATGCAATAAATTTCTTTCGCCCGAAGCGGCTGCGCGTTTGCAACCGTTGCTATGCAGTCGTATTTTTTTTTTTTTTTGTTGAACAAGAACGTCAGGAAATTATCGTAAAAGAATTACGTTAATATTAGAAAGAACATCGAAGTAAACAGTGTAGGAAATCATGCCTTCGAGGTACTCGATGAAAATGATTCAATGTTTTGAACTTAATTAAATTTTTATAACATAAATCCTGGAAGCTTGATTAAGGCTCCGTTCACAACTGTATGCCAGCTATCACTGTACGCACATTTGTATGTGTATTTACGTCACTCGTGTCATATTATATTATTATATTATTATGTATAATAATTTATACAATATATATAATATTATATATAATATATATAATATTATATTATTATATTATATATACATATTATACTATATACATTTACGTTATTGTACAGAGTGTCCCAAAATTATAGTACTTCCATACACATATATATTATATTCCATATAATAATAATAATAATAATAATAATAATAATATAATATAATAATATTATATATATATATAGATAATATATATATATATAGATAATATATATATATATAGATAATATATATATATATAGATAATATATATATATATAGATAATATATATATATATAGATAATATATATATATATAGATAATATATATATATATAGATAATATATATATATATAGATAATATATATATATATAGATAATATATATATATATAGATAATATATATATATATAGATAATATATATATATATAGATAATATATATATATATAGATAATATATATATATATAGATAATATATATATATATAGATAATATATATATATATAGATAATATATATATATATAGATAATATATATATATATAGATAATATATATATATATAGTACTATTATTATATTACAATAATTTATGTATATTCTATATATATATATATATATATATATATATATATAGAATATACATAAATTATTGTAATATAATAATAGTATCATTATATATCATTCTACTATTCTAAATATATTAGAAAAATCTTAATTTGTTCAGCTTTTTGGACCTATCGTTCCACTGTGCGCCCCCCCCCTCCCTCGCCTCCCACCGAGCTTTCCGTCCGAGTCGCAACCGCAACGAATATTTAAGGCTGATAAGGAGCACGCCCGAGTTCCTTTTCAAACGTCGCGGCGACGCGTTCCCATTTCTCCGGCCGCGTACTGATACACGCGGCGCCGTCGTTTCCCTCCGCGCCGCGCCGCGTCGGTGTCGAATAGAGACGTTCGCGGAATAATGGTCGGACGCTCTGGCGTTGCTTTTGCCTCCTGGGGAATTCGGATTTCTTGCTTGGCTCGCTGCTCGGGCGCGTGCCGCCCACACCCCCTTTGTCTCGTGATCGATCGCCGACCGGACCGCGCCGGAGAACGCGAGGAGAAGACCGCCGGCGACGGTGCAAACGGTCCCGTTGAATAAGAATAATGCAGGGACATGGGCACAAAGGGAAAGTCTGATACTCGGCCAGGCCTTTCATTCGTCGGTTCCGGGCCGCGCGACGTTGAGCGACACGGAATTAGCTCCCGGATCGAGATATCCGATTTGGAAGACGGCCGTTTCGGTTACGAGTCCGCCGGGGGATCCGGATTTTTATGAAAATTCATCGTTTTCTAGAGAGAGCGAGAGAGAGAGAGAGAGAGAGAGAAGAGAGAGAAGAAGTGCGAGAGCGAGACAGAGAAAGAGAGCGAAAGAGAGAGTGAGAGAGAGAGAGATTATTCTTTAGATGGAATGTTTGTAACTCTGGGTCAAAATTGACCCGGCGCCCGCCGTCCGAGGGTCAATTTAATCCTTCATAAATAATTTCTTTCATAGTTACATTGTGTGATTATATATTATATTATTTTATAATAAAAAAATATATATTGTTATTATATTATTATATTAATTATATATTGTATCGATTAAAAGAAAGAAAATTTATATTTATTGCGTGCGTAACGACCAAATATTCAACATCAGAAAAATTCGAATTTTAGTTTCATTTAAAAATATCGAATTATATCCATATTTAATAGATTATGTTTGAAATCTTAATAATTAGCCTTGCTACTTAATAACTAGCCTTGCGCTGTAAAGTGCAAGGGAGATTAAAGTGCTGCATCAGCTTATTTCTAGTATACTACCTTGTCTACATTAGTCGATGAAGACACGCGTTATCTTCCCAGACATTACCCGCGGTGTTCTGCGTACCTAAACAGTGAAATATCATAGAATTAGATTCCTAGACAGAAAAGATATTTAATTATAGACGTACACAAATGTATCACATAAAATACTCGCATTGCATGCGTTGATTTTTTACGAGCACGAACATGCGTTTATCTTTATAAGTAGTTTGACATTTGAATGTCAATTGAATCTCTTTTCAGAGAAGACTGTGATAAGCTTGAAAGAGATTAATTAGCCCGAAACAAATCCTACGGAAAGAAAAGTCACGTGATGATCATCTATAAATGTTTCACTAGAAAATTGTACTATATATGTTATAATTTATATATTATATATACATTTCAGTTATTACCTCATGGATTAGTCCCTTTATCATCTAAAAAAAAATTCAATTCATCGAGAACAGTTTTTAAATAATTGTACGGTTTTAAAAGGTTATTACTGTATATGTATACAGGATGTCCCAAAATTATGGTATTTTCGGGCAATGTGGGATTCCTGAGATCATTCGAAGCAACTTTTTCCTTTACAAGAATGTTCTCCGAGGCATCGTTAACGAGTTATTAACGAAAAAAGCTGACCCAATGAGACGCGAGCTCGGCTAGCGCGAGGCGGCACAGCCAACGGGCGCGCGAAGCCTAGTTCCGCCCGTTGCCTCGGCCGCCACGCGCCAGCTGTTCTCGCCTCTCATTGGTCGCTGTTTTTCGTTAATAACTCGTTAACGATGCGTCGGAGAACATTTTTGTAAAGGAGAAAGTTGCTTCAAATAACCTCAGGAACCACTCGTACATAATTTTGGAACACTCTGTATACTTTTTTAATCCATGGACATTGCGACAGGCACAGAAACTGGAACATCTAACCCTATTACTTCTAACTAAAAACGTCTGAATCGAAACAATTGATCGTTTTTCCGGAAGTATCATAATTTTGGGACACCCTGTATGCCCGCTACTGTACATGAACCCTTGAAACACTCTGCAGGGCGTCTGTGTGTAACAGGAAGCGGGATAGAGGCTAGTATCCGTAACTAATATAGAAAGCAGAGACTATTACGGCCGACGAAATAGGATGAAATTTACTTTGACGTGATCTTCGAGGAGCCAATTCATTGACCCGAATAGCTTCGGCCTAATTCAAGACATCCCATAGAAGACGATGGTCAATCTTCCTCGAGAATTTGTGTGGTTGGCATTCGGCTCCTGAATTTACTTTTAAAATGGACCAATTTCTGATTCTAAATTTACAAAATTATATCTAGTTTCATAGCACGTGATTCGAAAAATATTTGAACAACTAAAATATTGTTGTTGTTTCGCGTTTGTTACGTATCATTCGCATTTGTGCAACCGTTCATAAGTATTTGGATCGCGATCTTATTAAAATAATCGTATCTTTATTTACATTTCAGTATAATTATATATATACAATTTGAGTGGGTTATAATTTATTGTTTAAAATTTATTGTTAAGATGATTTAGAGTTAAGTTGACTCATTGTATCTTTATAATTCATTTCACTCGTCTTTTCAACATGTTAGAATTTTCAGGGTGTTCCGAAATTATGCTATTTCCGGGAAACGAGGGGTTCCTGAGGTGATTTGAAGCAACTTTTTCCTTTACAAAAATTTTCTCCGAGGCACCGTTAACGAGTTATTAACGAAAAACAATGACTGATCGGAAAGCGAGTGCGGTCAACGCTCCGCCCTTGCGGCCAATGCCGCGTCGCGCTTACCGCCTGAAGCAGCGGCAGTGATCGCGCGGGCGGGGCGCCAGCCGAGCGCTCGCCCCTCATTGGTCAGCGTTTTTCGTGAATAACTCGTGAACGATGCGTCGGAGAAAATTTTTGTAAAGGAAAATGTTTCTTCGAATCACCTCAGGAATCCATTTCCCGGGAGTACCATAATTGTGGGACACTCTGTATGTACAAAGTACATTTTAAGGCGTAAGTCAAAATTTTCGAAAATGTGATTTACGTCACTACGATTGTGATCCATTCAATTAGTATTAATTATCGTTATCAGAGTAGGAAATTTACCGTTCGCCAAATATTTCGTCTAGAACGCTTCTTCTAGATTCCACCAGACGAACTCACACGTCCGTTCGTCTGTCCATTAAAAATTTCCGTCGGTCCAATGAAACGAAAACTCGCTTCGAATTTTCATCCATAACTAATAAACGTCACCTCGGAGCGCTCCGGTTTTACCATTTAAATTCGAATAGTCCACGTACGCTTGCATAATGCAAATACTGGTAAATCGAGCTTCGAAAGACCGCGTTTCTCCGATTTCGGCGGAAAACCTGATGGGGAAAATGGGAAAATGAGAAGGTTACAGCCACTCCTATGATATTTTCGTAATACGGGATTCCGACTGGCTTCACTTAAGAAATTTCATTTCGCTCGAAGTTTCAATGAAACTTCATTTCCCTTTTCGTATTCGTTATGAAATGCAGCATTTGTTACGAACGTTCCACCGAAACACGATTCCAAAGAGCAGATAAATTCGAATTGCAATGAGCACGCTTGTCAAGCGTACGAAAAATTGCAATTATTATTGCATCGGTTTCAATGTAAACAGTTGCAATTAGATCTGGGTAAAAATGTTTGGAAAAGTATTGGAAATAGTTATTAGTGGTATATTCTTGTTTGTGTGAAATAATATTTCAAGATTTATTCGACGTAACAGATGTAAGTGCATTTATTGAATATACAGGGTGTCTCAAAAATTATGGTATTTCCAAGAAATGAGAGATTCCTGTGGTGATTCGAAGCAACTTTTAAACGCTTTGGGAAATATGGAAAGTTTGGGAAAAGTGGCTTAAAATAT